GCCCCTGGGGAGAGGGTCCCAGTCTGGGCTCAGCCACAGCAGTTGGACTCTGGAACTCAGTTCAGGAACACAGGACTTGGGATCAAAGGCAGGATGGATGAAGTCCTACTCGGATGCCGGAACACAGGACTTGGGATCAAAGGCAGGATGGATGAAGTCCTCCTCGGATGCCGGCCACTGCAGCAGCAGCAGCGCACGGAAGAGAGAATGGAAGGGCGAGGGAAGGGCTTCCCTCTCCTGATCCTTCAGCTTTACTGGCTATGCCAGCTGTGGGATGGGACACCCCACTGGTGAATCTTGTGGTCAGTTATCCTGCCCGCTCCTCCCTGCACATGCCGGGTACTCTCTGCCCCCCTCCATGTGGGACAGAAGCTTAGCAGTGGCCTTGGTCTGCACACCAATCCCTAGCAGTAACTCCAAACATGAAGTCTTACCCCTGCTAAAGCCAGACAGTTTATGAAAATGCTGCTACCACTTCAGAGAGAGCAGTTAATTAGAAGAGCTTTAACTAAAAAGTAAAATTAAGCAGAACCAGATCTATTTTACCCCAAACCAGGACAGCCATACTTGGTATTTTGTTTCAGATTTCACTTGTGATGCTGTCAGAGGCTGCGTGCTTTCTTCAGATCTGAAATCCTCAAAGCTGCCCCAAAGTTTCTAACAAACAAACTTAATGTTTTCATTTTACACCAGAAGCATAACACTTATCTGGGAAATCCCCCTCCCACACCTCAGAGCCCATATTTTGGGTGACTCGATGATCCTCACCACATGTAGTTACTCAGGTTCAATACTGGTTTTAAAAAACTGTCATGTAAAAGCCACTGGGGTCAACTTTTAAGCTGCTATTCCTACCAAGTACAACTGCTCTCATCCTGCCAGACTCTGCTCTGGTTCTCTGCTGTTGCCTTTCCCAGCTTCTTCAAAATCCTAAAATTGGCTTCTCATGATGAGAACCATTGACACCTGCATGAGCAGTGCCTCTTGCAGTGCCTGGTTCCACAGCACCTCCCAAAAGGGGATGCAGGAAACCCAGGAACACAGCGACAGCTCTGGTCTCATACAGTCATGGGAGCCAAGAAAGGAAGTTGTAAAAAATGTAACTGGGAGGAAATACTTGTCACCTGCCCCTCTTCAGTCCTGGGGACACAGTACAGAAGGAAACTATATGGAAAAGATGACAGCTCTCCTAAACAAATACTTCCCAGAAACCAATACTTGCAGCGATCTGCATCCCCAGGTGGAGAGGGGTGGTTGCACGTCTTTCACAATGAAGCAGCACATCACATCTTGTTCATGCTGCAATTCCAAGGAGTCTGCAACCCAGACTATGTATTTGGGAGTTGCTGTCACACCTCAGGGACAGTCGAGCTGACTGTCGAGTAATGTTTTCCTAACAGCTGAGGAATTCCTACAAGAATGCACACCATGTTTTATGACACAGAACAGTTCAAAAGACAGGCTACAAAGGACCATTCTCTTTGTTGCCTTCTTTTCTCAGTTTCTAATCAGAAGTTCCCCGGTACAAGAGCAACAGTGTCAGTTTACAGAACTGCTCCTATGCACTTCAAAAGAGCCCACCCATTTCCAGTTGAATGAATGGAAAAGGATCCCAAGAGGTGCAACAGAAGTTGGGCAAGGCCCCTGGAAACTGAGCTCAGAAGAGAAACTACCTGAAGGGGGAAGGGAAAGGCAGCAGAGTCCCCATGCTCACAAAAGATGACACAAATACACCTTATTTAAAACCAACTCCTTCCACCTTTACATTTATTTTCCCTAAAACAGTCTTTGCAAACAACTCTTGTTTCTGCTTTCCAGTTCAGTGGGATTGCTGCAAGCCCTCCATGGCACGTGACTCTGGGGAAGCAGAGGAGGTGTGCCACAACTCAGTCATATTTCCATAGGAAACTTGACTCATAACTTAGGTCATCCTTGAAACGCTGACCCAGAGGTTTACGACAAGCGTCCGAGCGTCAGGCCCAAGGGAGAGCAGCGCAGCCACCCGAGCCTGGCAGAGCTGCTCTAGCAGAGCAGGAGCCCCTCCTTCGCCGCCAGGCGCTGGCGATGGATCTGATCCTGCTGTAGCTCCTCGTGGTTTGGATGCCAGAGTTTCATGACGATTCTCTCAATGTTTAGAGCGTAGACAGTGTGCGCAGGAATGACTTCTTTGTGCACCTGGAGACACACGTTAGAAAACGAGCATCACCCTTCCGGGCACTTCTCCCCAGGCTGCCAGGGAGTAACCTCCCTGTGCTGCAGGACGACGAGCGCGCCGGCGCTGCCGAGCGGGGAGGGAGGCTGGCACACGAGGAGAGCTGTGACCTGCCAGCACTGCCACAGGAGCCAGCACAGAGCAGCTTCCTGCCACAGGGCTGCCACCGTAAGGAAATCATCATTTTGCTCTTGTGAGGACAAGCAATAACTTGTGATCAGAATCTTACAAACAACAGTTCTGACCAAACACATGAAATGAATGCTTGATTATAGATCTTGCAATGAGTGGTCTGTCTCCACAGCCTTGAGACAAAATCTCAAGGCTTGCTCACAATAGCAGAGATCAAGGGGGAATTTCTCACAGCTAATTTTAGACATTCAAAGTAGCCTGAATGTCCCCAGAGCTGCCAGAGAGGGAGGGAACCACAGGCGTAGGTCTCCACAGGAAGATTCATACAGCCCACTTGAGACACCTCCCCAGGGCTGGGGTGATCACAGCCAACCCACTACAGCAGCCTGCATGCCAGGACCAAATATTCCTCTAAGTACCCAGGTGGAACATGAGGAGTAAAAAAGGGACATGACAGGCAAGTCACTCTGCTGCATTGCTGTCAAAATCTCAGTCTAGCTCAGTTCTGATATAATCACTGCAGCCTTGCCACAGCAGAAGAGTTCACCTTTCTTATGTAGCTGTGAGAAGAGACAGATTTTCTCATCAACTCTCTGACCAAGGGCAGCAGTTAAGTCATGAGCTGACTCTAAGTAAACCATTACCCAATACTGGGAGGAAGTTGAAGCCATAGAATTTTAAATTTGAGACACGGGAGGAAGGAGACTGTAGGAGAAGAAATCAAATCCCCTTTCACGCATGTAAATCAAACCTGAGACCAGTAAGTGATGCTCAGGGCAGCACTGCCTGTGACATGACATAACAGTGTGACCTGAACAGCTTACCTGTAATGCCTCAAAAAGGTCATACATGTTCACCGGTGGCAGCGATGCTGGTAAGGTGTCCCCAGAGCATGCCAGGAGTAGAGCTGCCTGCTGCTCAGCATCGTCGGGCAGGGGCTGGGGAGCAAGACCCTGACCAGCAGAAGGTGTCACAAAGGTTGGAGGGCTGTAGACAAAGCAGGTACTGAAACCTTCTAGTCAAGAAAACAGCCCCCGCTCTGCAAGTCATACAGCAGAGGCTTGGCCTCAGGGTTTGCTTTTCTGTATCAGTTGACTTTGCCCTTATGTACATAAAATTATTGCAGCTGTAATGACAATCTCTTTAAAATTCCAGTTCAATAAAAACAGTGCAAACAGATCCTCAGCACGCTTCAAACCTGCTTAACTGATTTTTGTTACAGGCAATAGCTTCTATCCAGCATAAAAATCAAGGCACCCACACCATTAAATTGAAAGACATTAGCTGTTAGGGTTGTTTAGACTGGACTGGATTTTAGTGCTTGTAATGCTATAATTAAATCTTAAACCACCCACAACCTCCTGTCAACTGCTAAAAGCTGCCACAGACAAACACTACTGCCTTCTCAAACACACACTGACAGATCAACAGCACAAGCTGTTTGATATCGAGGCCTTGGAAAACAAGGTGACCTTGAAGCTCTGCTGACTTGGAAAGACAAGTCAAGGAACCATAAATACATTTGGATCCAGGAAATGCCAGGACAGCAGCATTCTGCAGACGCTCACTGACACTTCATTCCTGTGGCACAAGTGGTGTCCCCACAAAGGCAGGTCTCTTCTTCCCAGGGGCAGTTCCCCTGAGAGCAGTGGAATTCCTATGTCACTCACTACAGCTTCCAAAAAGCAGTGACTACAAAGGACATTCAGAGAGCCAGGGGTCACCTTCATAAATCGATGGACAAGCACAGGCAAGGGAGGGAGGCCGTCCTAAACTCTGCTGCTGAGAAATCCCCATGTTCTCCCTCCCTCTTCAGCTGTACAGTCCTCAACACCCATACCTTTGGAGTATGAGAAAGCTCAGCACCATTATTAACAGATTCTAACAACTAAAAAGAGAAACCGCCCCTCAGAGTAGCTTTAAGGCTAGCAAATTGCATCTGAAATTAGCAGTGTGCCGAGACCTCCTTACCACTCAATTAAGTTGTTATAGGCAACAACACTGTTCTTCAGGTACGGCTGAGGGTTAACGTTGCTCCCGAAGGCATACTTGAAGTGGCCGTCTCTCAGGCGATAGGCCTTCCGCCTGGATATCACAGAGGTCAAAATATCCTTAAGGTGGTTCTGCAATGAAAAACAATTTTATTACACATGCCGATTTGTTCACTCTACCATGCCACGGGTATGTGAAGTGCCTCACCAAGTGGCAAGACAAGGATCTGCAGACATAAGGAGGTCAAGAGATGAAGAAACTGCAGTATGTTTTCACTGTCTGAAACATCTGAACAGAGAACATGGCACTGTGCACCTACTTGTGCATTAGCCCGTGAACTGTACTTCAATATGGGACGAGCTGCCTAAAATGTCAAAGAGGTTTCTTAAATGCCAGGAAATTCCCAACCTGTGATCCCCTTGATAGAGTTAAGAGACTTCATAACTGGCACTAGGTGTTACACTTGTACTGAAACACCGGCCCTAAAACTACAGTGAAAAGCCACTCACTCCTCTTTTTCAGACTCTTCAGTGGCCTGGAAAGTGCTGGAGAATCAACTGTCTGAGAAGAAGGGACAACAACTGCTTCTTAAGTTGGCCTCACTCTCAGACGGGGACTTCAGGTTGGCCTCCACATTCTGACTCCAGAAAACCATGCACACATCAACACTCCAAGTATGGCTGTGATGCACCACTGATGGCCCAACCCAGCACTTCACCTGCAGGTACTACCCAATTCTGCCACTTCACTTCCATCCCAGATACCTGCACCTGTAATGGCTTTTTTTTTTAATAGAACCTTTTGAAATGGAGCTCCTGCTCTGTCCCTGCTTTTAAGAGACAGGAACAGCATTTTCCAGAACAGGCACTTAAGCATGTCTGAGTTCTTCATATGCAGTACTTCAAAATTAACACTTGCAGCCAGAAATCCAAGGGTTTATGCCATCTATGATGGCACGAACATGGAAGCCCTTTGCTTCCCACCCTACTCCTCCAGAGGAAATTGGGCAGTTTGAGAAACAGGTTTCCTCTCCTCACGGAGGGACGCCACTCCCTGCTCCACACAGGAGCTTCTGTTGCTGCTGTGAGACCACCACTGCTGCCCAGCCCAGTCTCACCTCCACAGCATAAACCACTGCTGTCACTGCCTCCTCTGTCACGTTGTCCAGCCCGTGCTCGTACGCAGTTACGATCATCCTTCCTTCCAACTGGCCACGTGTAGGAAGCATCATGGTATGAGAACACAGCTTCAAATCATCATCCTCCTGAGGATCCTTTGCCACAAACTGCTGGGCTCCAGACAGTGGATTCTGAGGCTGGAACCGGTGCTGTAATGAATATAATATTAGAGTAAAAGATAAACACCCAGTCAGACCCTTTACTTCATCAAGCCAAACATCTGGTCTCCAGATGGAAAGCAAACACCTATAACAACATTCCCTAGACTAGATGGTCCTGCTCTGGCAGGGGGGTTGGACTCGATCTCTGGAGGTCCCTTCCAACCCCTAACATTCTGTGATTCTGTGATATCACTCTGCTTGTCCTGCTGTGGTATTTGTCCCCAGGATATTCTCCCAACCTCCAAAAATCTCTAACTGAAGAAATTCCCGAGTCAGTGTTGGTATCCTTTCATTAAACAACCCATGAATGTGTCCAGCAGCACCCTGAAGATTAACAGTGCATGTTGTGGTTTGGGGCTTGGAGTGGGGGTGTGACCTTCCAGCACCTGGGAGGACCCCGGGTGGGGGTGAACCATTGTATTCCCTCCCCTTCCCACACACACTCTGGAAGGAGGCAGGAAGTGGGTGCTAACTCCATTCCTGCCCTGTGGCTCTGGGGGTCAGGTGCGTGCTTTGCTCCATGGGACCCTGGAACTATTTCTGAGGGTTTTGTATATTTTGTTTACTTTTGTATTTCCCCTAATCTTTGTATATATTTTTTCTTACCTCCCTTTTTCGTTTTGTTCCTTGTTAAACAATATATTTTATTTTTTTTCATTTAACTCCCTTATCAGTTTTTTTTCAAAGTCTCTCTCTCTCTCTCTGGGGGGGAGGGGGGAAGGGAGCACATAGTTCTGTTCCATGTGGGTCCTGCCCTGAACCCCTTTTCACACGGAACCAGAACAGGGCACCACGTGAAGGGTCATTTCCTCTGGTTTGTTCTGTAGTTCTCACTTACAGGAAAATGATGTGCATTTAGCAAGTCTCAAATGTGGTCAGTCACTGTCCCTTTTTATCTTTGTTCACGTTACCCAGCACAGTGATGACTTTACTGAATTTCACGTGTCTCAGTCACCTCCTTCTATACTGAAGAGTTCTCATCTGCTTAGTCATTCTTGTATGGCAGGGTGTATTTTACTTACTAACTGTACGGTTTCCACCAAGATTAAAACCTATGATTCTAAGCTTGTGCAATTAAGTGATTCTTACATTTCTTTAAAGTTTTAAATGCAACAACTTAGTCAAAATCCAGTTCTGAATTTCATACTCTAATCGCCCTGTGTGCTTTCAATGCACTAAACAGAGCTATGTCACTGAGCAGTCATTGACTCTGAGATGGATTGTGGCTGCTCTTTAGAACTGACTCAGTTATTTAGAAAAAAAGCCATCACAGAACAGGTATTCATACACGAAGGTGGCAACCCTCACTTCCTAGACCCCATATATTCCAGCATAATTCCCTTGCTGAGCTGGTGTCTCAAGCTTTGAGTGGTTGTGGTGGCTCCCAGGAAGTCTCACTCCCCAGCTGAAGGGCAGGGAGGGAAGCAGATGAGAATGATTGATCCTTGAGCCCAGATGCACTCGGCTCAGCACTGACCTGCAAGGGAACAACACTGACCTGCCCCACCAAGTACTCCCACAACTTCTGTCCCTCAACATTCCAGAGCCACAAATCCGGTGGCTCTGGAACACAGATTGCTGCAAGGCTCTTACGGGGCATCAAGACAAACACATACTTTAAATATAAACAATGAATATACAGCAAAGTGGGTTTCTCACATTTCAGTTTCAGGAGAGGAAGGAGGGCCGCTTTATTCAAAGGACAGTGTGGCATTTAACTCAGAGTGAAAACCAGCCCACCCACTAATGGTGTGAAAGCAGGTTTCCCTCCCTGTAATTCTGAAGGCTTACGCTGTCATTACGGGAAAGCTACATGTCTGTATGCTTTGGAAAAAAAGACCTTCAAAATCTAAACTCCTCTTAAGAGGAACATAGTTTGGGAGAGCAGAAGTCAGCTGGAACAAACCTGTGGTCATTCACAGGTGTTATTCTGACTAGTAAGGGAAACCATCAGGAAATATCAAGGCACCTCAAGTTCACAATACTCAGGAATTCCATCAGCAACAGACAAGCCCGTTTATCATAACATACACTTCACACAGCAGTTATTACCAAGCATTCCAGGAATGCATGTATAAACACACACACCAGGTGCAATGTGGGGGCAGGCGTACTGAGTAAATCAAACTTCAAGACTTCAGCTACATCATGACTTGCTTCTCAAGCTCTCCTCTCCTTGCTATCGGACAGTTATGGGAAGTTTAAAAACAAAAGGAACACAGGCCACCATCAGAATTCAGGTCATAGCTGTAGACACTGCAAAAATATTTCAGGAGCTTCTAAAGACAACAAGCCTTCCGCTGCACTCGCATCCCTCTGAGCCACACAGAGTATCTAAGTATAGTGCCTAGAAGGGCAGCATGCACTTCAGCCAAGCTGACCTCTCGTAGCCAAGTGGGAGGTTTCACGTGCCCACCCTTCTCCTCTAACCCCAGCCCCTCTGTGCTGGCTCTGGCGTGCATCTCACCGCAGACCAGCAGGAGAAGCTTGGGGGTTTGGATCTTTTTTTCCCCCCAATTAGTTTTCTGCCTTGTCAGAGAACGGAACCAGACTGTGATGTGCTCAGACCTGATAAATCTGGCTCAGTACGAGATAGACACTCTCCCTTTCAACAACCATTAATTCAGTTGGAACCACCTTATCAAACCCCACCCCTGGAAGCCAGCGCCCCATCCCAGTCCCCTATCACAGCAGGCTCCCTCCAAGCTGGCTGCACAGGAACACCTGCAGAACAGGCACATGACAGCACCAGGTGTGTGCACAGAGCCTTCACCACAACGTGAACCAATCGTGCACATTTCTCTGCCACCTGCCAGAAGGCAGCATCTTTGCAAAGCATTTTCAGTTCTGAAACAACCCGACCCTCTAAAAACATTCCACCCAAGGAACACATAACTCCTAACATTTTGGATTGCAGAGTCCTGTGGAGGGGATCATACAATCACAGAATTCTGTCTGACTGCCTGAATAAATAAGAAAATACTTCTGCTACAAGAATTTGGCAGACATGTCAACAAGATACTGCAGAGAATGAGGAAGTTCAATAAGGCTGTGAACGACCTGCCCATGCGTTACTGCAGTGACCGGAAAGCTAAAGTTACTCCTTGTTGGTTCCTGGAATACAAACTTTTGCAGCTTTGACATTTAGGTGTTCTTTCACAGATTCCCTGGGGTCTAATAAAGACAGGTCACACCATAGACATTCTCCCAAGAGGCTTCCACAAAAGAGGCAGCAGCCACTAACCCCCACCTCTTGCCCCGGCCAAGAACTCAAAATAAATATGACGTGTACCACTGCATGTGTTGGATGTTCATCCCTGTGATAAGAAGTACCACCTGCTGTGCTCTTCATCCCTAACAGAATGTCACAGAGCTGTGACCATCTAACCGTGGACACTTACATCAAACTTCTGTCGAACTGAAGAAATCTTTTTCTTTCCTTTGGGTTTTCCAGGTTTAGTTGCAGAGCCACCTGGCCATGGCAGAGATCCAGCACCTTCTACAAATTGAAAAGAAAACAACTCTACTCAGTAGGTTTAGGGCCAGGTTCAACCTGTTCACGCTGGAAAACCCTTAACATTTGGCATCCAGCTAACCCTTAGCCCAAAATCAACAGCCATGACCCAGAGCGATTTCTCAGGGAAGAACAGCCTTTCCTTTGTCAGCCCCCTGCTAGTATGACTCACTCCATTACCTCAGCAGAAATTCGTGTCCACACACAAAAAGCCATGGGAGAAGAGATGACCACAACCTCCAAGTAAAGCAACAAGGAAGAGCCATGCGTTCCAACAGGAAGATGACAGGAGCTTTCTCAGAGGGGGATTCTGCTCCCAAATCCCGGATTAGGTCAGATGCTAGTCAGCAGATTGAGCAGTCTGACTCACTACTACTCTGCTTTCACAGCTCCCCATCAGCTTTAGCAAGCTTTGTCTCTGATCTCTGTTAAACATAGCAGCTGATTGTTCTTGTTACACCGAGGGGAAAAAAGAGGGTGGAAGAACTGCAAAGGTTGCTGAGCCCAGAACAGGATAACACCAACATGAGCAGTGAGCCTGTGACCAACCAGAGCTGGCAAGCAGCTGAAGAAGAGATTATTGTATAGCACCAGTAAATACATACACTTGGCCACATCACCTTGAAAAGACCGCTCAGAAGTCCACTGTGTGCTGTTTGACAGCTACACTTACAGTAGGTCAAACCACATCCTGATAATCACACTGCTCTTGGCAAGGACAGCCCAGATTTCCCACTGATGGGTTTACAGGATCTGTGAACAATCCCTTCAGATACATTTGGGCTTAAGACAAAGTTGCACTGGATGTGCATGTTCTTGCTGACAGCAAACAAGAACTGCAACCCAAAGACTGGACAGCCCTCTCGTGGCTACATAGGCAGCCTCTGCTTTGTGTCATCATCCTCCTCCTCCTTTGGTTTTGCAGAGGGAGCAAGCACCCCTTCTCCTCTGGAGCAGAATGTGCCTTGTGCCAGGGTCCCTGCCTGCCTCCCAAGAGCTTGGACAAGTCAGCTCTGAAAGTACTTGTTGCCCCTGAAGCAGAGGTTGTAGCTCTGCTGACAGGTGGTGCTGACAGCATGGCAATGTCTCAGATGTTCCCTGGCTACACCTCAGCCAGCCTTTGGCACTTCCTCTACAAACAGACGAAGTGACAGCAGCCATCCCAATAAAACAGCAGACTCAGGTGAAGTTTTTGAACGGTGAACTGCTAAGAAGGGGTTAGAAACAACCTACACACACACATAGATGGCATCTTCTCCCTATTAACAAATGCTGCCTGAAAAGTTTAGCTACATCCTGTTAGCGAGGTGAAATCCAATGGTCTACAACAAACCCTGCTGGCAAAATCCACTAGCCAATTATAGGAAAAAAATAAATAAGCCCTCTCAAAAAATTGTAAAGCTGGTGTCTCTACTCATCACTACAACACTTCACCATATCCTTAACAAGGGGGTGCTGGAAAGCACCGTGGACAATCATCTCAAGGACTACTCTTACCCTCCATTGGTATCTTGGGACTTTCATCTTAGGATCTATAAAAAACCCACGCTACTTCTCTCCCAAGATGTTTAGCTCTTTACAGACAAGTCCTTTCTTCTTCCTCCTCTCCTCTACAGCAGGTCAGACTCCTTCTAAGCAGGGAGAATTAAGTGTGTTAAGGCCCATTTCAAAGCTGTCAGTAAATGCACATCTCCCTAGTAGCAATAATAGCAACTTTTACACTAAATAGCAACTAAATTTTTAGTCTTTGACAATAGATCTGAAACATGCAAATTAATTGAGTCTCAATCTGCACATTTAATGAAAACTTTGCCAGACTTGGCTTAGGAGGAGGAAAAGGTGAGATACTATCTCTGATTCCCCATTGCAATGAACCCAGAGCCGACTTGCAGTAGATGAAGAAAGGAGAATTTCCCTCTAGTATTCTAAGAAAACTCATACTTGCCTTCCTGGCCACAAATGACACGGCTGGGTTGGCTCAGATGTGAAGCTTCAGAAATGTTAGCAGCTTTTATTTAACCTTAATAGCGAGAGAATGAGATGTTAACAAGCCACAGGAATGGCTGCTGACAGTGCCTTCAAAGATGAGCAACAGATAAGAATGTTTGTCTAAGAGCTGCCAGTCTCTGCCACAATGGCACCAGCCAGCTCAGACAGAGGGTGTCAGGTTTTCCTGACGTGCTGCAGCAGCCACACAGGAGGCAAGGACCAAGATACAGACAGAGACAGTCACAGCAGAGCACCCAGGCACAGGAAATGTGTGTTTTCTCACTCTCATTGATTTGGTCTTCAGTTGGTTGGTTGGGGTTTTTGGTGGTTTGGTTTTAATTTTCTTGCAGGGACAAGGGTTTAGTCAAATATATTCTGACCTTCCTCTGTCAACAACTCACACTACCATTTACTGCTTTTTCCACCCTTCCCAGCTCTCTGGAGAGAAGTGGAACACGAGCGACCTGAGCCTGTCTCACAGTTGACAGCCCTTCAAGCAAAGCCTGTGGGCCCTCATACAATAAAATGCTCCTGCTACCCCAGCAACAATTCTGATTCACTGAACCATCTTTTAGCTGGCTTCAGATTACTAGCAAATAAATTAAAATCCTTGTATCACCAACTCAGGTGCTTGCAATTGTCTCAATTTTGTTGTTAACATTTAGGTAAGGAAGGAGGTAATAGTTCAAGTGACATATGTACGAACTCAAGAAAGCTCATGAACTCCATTGCTTGCAATTGTCCAAACATAGTTATCCTGGGCTGCAGAAAAGGAAGCGTGGTCAGCAGGTCGAGGGAGGGGATTCTGTCCCTCTGCTCCACTCTGGTGAGAGCCCAGCTACAATGCTGAGTCCAGCTCTGGAACACCCAGTGTAAGAAGGACATGGACCTGCTGGAGCAGGTCCAGATGAGGCCACGAAAATAAGGGGGCTGGAATCCCTCTGCTGCGAGGTCAGGCTGAGAGAGTTGGGGTGATTCAGCCAGAGAAGGGTCTGGGGAGAGCTTCCTGCAGCCTCTCAATACTTACAGGGAGCCGATAAGAAAGATGGGGACAGATTTTTTTTTTTAGCAGGGCCTGTTGTGACAGGACAAGGGGTGATTGTTTTAAACTAAAAGACAGTAGACTCAGACTAGCTATAAGGAAGACATTTTTTGCACTGAGGGTGGTGAAACACTGACCCAGGTTGCCCAGACTGGTGGTAAAAGCCCCACCCCTGGAAATATTCAAGGTCAGGCTGGAGGGGGCCCTGAGCAACCTGCTCTATTTGAAAATGTCCCTGCTCACTGCAGGGGGGTTGGACCAGATGACCTTTAAAGGTTCCTTCCAACCCAACACATTCCATGATCCTATAAGCTTAGTGAGCAAGTCCATGCAAGGTTAAAGATGGCTTTAAACTGAAGTTCCTCCTGATGGATTTTTTTGGGGAACAAAACCACCAGACAAATTCAGAAAAGCACTTCTGAAAGTACTGGTAAGAATACCAAAGAAAACAACTTTCTTGTAATGGGAAGTGTGCCACCACTCAGGCTGGTGCACCCAACCTAAAGTCTCCATTAAGGCACTCTAGGATTTTGGATAGCATATTTCTAGAAAGTTCCTCTTTCAGGCACTTTCACAGCTTTCCAGTTATGTTACAGCTGGATGCCACTCAAGCATTTATGCTTGTCTTTACAAACATGGCTACCAGCAGGAACAACACCACCCATTTTTAAAAAGGGCAGAGAATTCAGATGCAGGATTGTTCAGCATCCTGCCGTGTCCTCAGTGGGAGCTCAACAGGAGCTACCTCAGCCGGTCAGGCACTCCAGAGCGGACATGAACTTCCCTCCCTCTCAATCACCAAGTTCGAAATGTCCCGTGCCACAGAGGCTGCTGAACTGGGATTTGAAGTTCTCACAGCCAACAGCCTAAACAGATGATAGGTGGAGATGGAAAATGCTCACGAAGGGCCACATTCACCCAGTGTTCCCCAGTAAGCCCAGATAGAACTACTACAACCAGAGGCAGCAAAATCTGGATCAGATGGGTTTGTCTGCATGGTTCAACATATAGAATAATTTAGGTTGGAAAAGACTTTTAAGATCATCAAGTCCAATCATTAACACAGCACTGCCAAGTCCACCACTAAACCATATCCCTCAGCACCTCATCTACACATCTTTTAAATACCTCCAGGGACAGTGACTCCACCACTTCCCTGGGCAGTGGCATTACAAGTTAGAATGACTCCTTAAAAATGCCATCTCTATGTATTTCCTACTTAAATGTCACAATATCAAGTACACTTTTAAAGCTGGCCACATGCTTTATTTTAATACAAAACAGCATTAGAAAGAAGGTTCTTTCCCCTTGCCTCTCTCACACGCAGGTGGAAAGTCCGTGCAGCAGTAACCCCTGTGATGGCGTGCCAAGAGCAGCACACACACTTCTTTAAAGTCACTCGTTTCCACGAATGGTGAAGGAAACACCTTCTACCCAAAAGACAGTGGTGCAGACAATAGCCCGTTAGTGTTCCATTCTTACATGGGGAAAAAAAAACACAAACAAACACACACACACACCCCCAAAACACAACCCACCTAGCAGGTGCCAGGCTGGCACCTAGAGGGGAAAAAAGAAACCAAGGCAGAACACCTCGTATTCCCCTCTCGTGCTCTCCTGGGCTTGCAGGTACAACCTGCTAACCACACACAGCAGAAGATGGGTCAGTAAGATGTGTCTGCAATAGAGTTACCAGCCAGTGGTATCTGGCTCAGTACAGATCAGCTCCAGAATCGCTGGGAGACCTTGCAGTGATTCAAGGAGGCAAACCAGAGACTCTAGAAGGGACCAGCAGTAAGTGCTGTTAACTGCAGGGACTTAAAACACATCTTTAAGAACACAAACACACATTAAATGGATTTTTTTCCAAGCTGGCTTCTGTAGATCTGTGGGCAGAACCAAAAAAGCCTGCCTGAAAGCAATGGAGGTGACCAGCTGGCCAGTACTTGCTCTGTCACACTGTCACTGATCTGCTGAAGAACTACAAAGAAAGGTTCTTCAAGAGCTCCTGAAGAGACTAAGTTTCAGTAAGACACAAGGAGAAGTCCTTGGCAAGGACTCGAATTTTAGAAAGATCAAGCAGGAAGTAATGAGCATATGGAGGGCACCTGTGGAGACCAGCCTGCTTTGTGCTGGGGCTCCTACTTTTACCACACCCCTAGAAAGCCTTGGAAAAAGGGGCCCTGGGGAGCAAGCAGAGCTTGCTGACAAATCCGAGCTGTTTAAGCCAAGGCAGACACAGCCTGACTGGACAACTGCAGAAGAGCTGTAGGAGCCTAAGGGGTGGGGTAAAGAGGCAAAGGAAGCTCAATACAGTGAAGCACAGAGTGGTGCACACAGGAATAAACAACCCCAACCTTCATCACCCGGAGATGGGCTCTAACCTGACTTCTGCCACTCAGAAGCAAGACCTCTGAGCTGTGATCTCCCTTCCAACACTCCCACCAGCTCAGTGCTGAACTCAGAGAATGTGGGCACTCCCCCACCTCCTCCTAATTTAGCCTCAGCTACTTCAGATAATACAGGGATATTGATGTTCTTTTGCTTTCTTTTTATAATCCAGCTGTAGGTACTTTAATTCAGAGGCAGGGAGCAACAAGATTTTGACAAAAATCTTCTGAATTACATGAGTAGAGACCGCTGAAGAGGACAAGTCTGGGACTCACAATGTGTAAAGTTCAAGAGCAAACAAGTTTGGAGGTGGAGGAGGTTAGCATTTAACTAGCAGAGCTGCTACAGTTAATGACCAGCTACAACAGAAAAAGCTGTGGGTATCCACAAACTTTGCCTTTTCTCCTTCCTCAAGCTACATCAAGTACCCTAACAAGAGGTGTTCTCTCCTCTCAAAGCCCTCGTCTCTCAGCCTGTCAGAGCTGCCACGTTCTCTCTCCCATACTATACAGCAGTTTCGTACCTTGACCCACAGCTCCACCGTCTTTCCTATCCACCCTCTGGATAGAGAGCTCTTCCAGAGACCAAACCACTCAACGACAGCCATCCAAAATGCTTACTAAGCTAAAAGGTTAACCATCTGGAGAGGGTTGGGTTAATTGGCCATAGCTCAACCGAGACTCGCTGTAAGCACTCCCAGTAAGCATTTTTCTATCAAATACGTACTTGATTTCAAGATCAGTCAGCAACATCCAGCTCCCCAAAATGACATCCCCAGCAGAGAGAAGAACAAAGAGCATCATCAAGTTCAGAAGCGAGAGGAAGCAGTACAGCAAGACAGATCAAAGGCAAAGCAACGTCTCCCTTTACACATCAGCTCACAGCACACACCCAATCCAGAAATCAAAGGGGCTTATCGCACACAGCGATCCAGCGTCACCCTCGCACCAGGCACACGCAGCTTATTGACAAAAGCAGCTCTGCTGAAGTCAGCTGGATCCCTGCTTCGCTACCCTTTGGCCTGTACAGCAAAAAGAACACGAACATTAAGGCTCAGAAAGTTGGAGTGCTTTGTACAACCCCCCCCCCCAGCCACAGAGGTGGCAAAGCGTTGCTACCCAACTGTTTTTCGTGAGGCTCCCTGGGACTTACCTGGTGCAGAAACCAAGATCTGGCATCGGGTAAGTATGGCCAGGAGGAAATCATTGTGAGAGTGGACTGTGTGGAAACAGACAGGTCATTAGCAACACAACTCCCCCCACAGGCAGCCCCTCAAAGCCATCTCTCCATTCTTTTCCACAGCTGGCTCCTCCCCATGTGCTTAGCTATCCAGGTACAACTTTCAATTCCTTTTTTTTTGTAAGAGAGAGTTTGCTTCTGCTGGACCCAGAATCTGCTACTACCACACTGAAAAAAAAAAAAAAGGATACTACAGATGACATGGAAACAAGTTAGGTCAATTCTCAGTGTGCCACACACACAAATCCAGCCCTACAGCATGCAAGGTGAAACGTCTGGTGTATTATTCAGCCAGAAGGAGGAGGACCAGCTGCCCCTCCAGCCACGCAGACTTGTAGTAGCAGGGATTGTGGGTTTGCCAGAAGAGGATCAGTAAGACCCAGCCCCAGAAAGGTGAAGTTAAGTCAAACAGGTTTATGATAAAACAAAACTTCTTCACAGAAGGCTTACTGGAACATGGAGTGAATAGTCATATGTTAGAAAGAGTGAAGACGAACTCCATAAGCAAGGTCAGAGGGTTACGTGATCAGCTTGGGCCTTTGAGCCAATGCACCAACAAACTCCCTGCCCTTCCCCACAGGGAGCATGAACATGGAAGCCAGGAGATCCCACAACGCTCTCAGCAATGCCCACCAGTGTTTGCAAGCCCATGCAGAGGCAAGAGCAAAAGAATCTCACCCTTCAATTTGCCACCCCCAGAAGGACAGGAAGGAGATCTGCCCGCTGCAAGATCCCCTAGGTGAATTTAGGGGTCTCTTCCCCACTTCAGCCCCCGCACCAGTCCCACCTTAACCAAAGGAAGAGCACAGTATGGAAAAGACTGGGTCTCTACAGTGACATTTAAAAAGGCCTTTTTATTGCTGGGACAGCATATTTTACCTTTTTACCATATTTACACAAGACCAAATTGCCTGCCAATGCTGGGGGCACAAAGGGATTTCCCCTGGAAGGCCAAGGCACCTCCCACCTTTTCAACTCTACCGAGGCCCCTCCCCCCTTGTCAACTCTCCCGCCACTGGAACCCTGGCCATTCTTATTTCTCTCCAAGCAACTTCCCTGTTTGGAAAGCACCGTGCAAGGCGAGAGCCGGCAGGAAAACAAACACAAGCTGACTTTTTACCGTTGTCTTGTGTGAGAAGCCTGCGCGCTTCTAGGTCAAACTCCTCCTTGCTGATCTTCTGCTTGAACCAGAGCTTCAGATTGGCCCAGTACCTACGGCAGAGCGGGGAAGGTGCAGACACCGAACGCGAAGCGCTGTTCCCAATCCCGCCGCCTTCCCCCACCGGCGCAGGGGGCTCGGGGGCCGGGCCGGGGCTGAGGCCTCCGCGCACACACGGTGCAAACGCGCGTCCCTGGGAAGGCTGGGGGAGGCC